AATCCACTAATTTCTGGATGTTAAACCGATCCCACATTTAACAAAGAACAACCCACATCTGTTTCTTATCATCTGTACCTGTTTATATGGAGTTTTAGGAGACTCTGATCCTACCTGAACCCATTCCCCCTGCCCTGTGGAATGCCAAAAATGCCACAGTACTCTCTGATCTGCCAACCTGGGATTCCAGCTGCCCTGGAGATGCTGGTGAAACCGGGGGCAGCGAAGCTACAAAGAGCACAGTGGTATGCTAATGATCGGAGAAGTCTGCTTGAGACAAAACAGACACCTGTTTGAATCCTGACAGTTAAATTGTCTTTACTGAGCTAAGGTTTGCCTTTTAAAGTGGAAACACATGTTTTGCTTTAACTTATCATTATGAAGTAAATGTTGATTGCACAATTGACTGCTGTGTGATATGGGATACCTCAATATCAATACTGTGACAATATTGTGGTGTTAACTTTTGGTGCTTTGACAAAATATTTACACAATGAGACTTTTGATAGTCATCAGTTATGTAAATGTATTAGGACTAAGTGTCTAGAGGCAAATGACAGAACAGCTAGAACAGTCCGGTAAGTTCAGAAAGTTAACCTAAGACAATATCTAGTCTCACATCACAATATCGATATAATACTGATATACCACCACTAGCACAATGTAATGTCTATAGAATGATGACACCATCTTTTACTATGCAATTCTGTCTGCCACCAGGTACAATCTCCTGAGAAAATAAAGGCTCAATTTATGGCACAAATGAAGCGTGTTAACGCTTGTGCAACCAAAACAGGAAGAGGGTGGCGCTTTTGTTTTCCTCTGTAGCTTTCGGTAGCTATTCCCAATCACCAAAGAGTATTAAAGTAAGTTCTTTGCAGCTAGTATCTCCAGTAGCAGAACTGGCAGACAGTGTATGGGGAGGACATTTTGAGTACATTTGAATACTGGGGGGAGAGAGTCCCTTTATTTATCAGAATTACTGCCACAGAAACAGTTGAAAATCTGTCTGTTTCCACTCTAAGAAACTAAAAAATACAGTGTTGAAATCTGCAACGTCATCTTATCTAATTGAGGGCTGAGGGGACCCCACCATTGAATAGGTAGAATTGGACACTGTCGTTTAAAGCAGTGGTTCTCAAATGATGTGCCATGATCCCAAGGATTTTGTGATACCTACATATTATTATTATTATGGCAATATTCAACTGAGCCTATAGAAAAAGTTATGGATGAATTTCTAACTGACTGTATCAGTATGTTGTGCACACCCATTTCTTAATAAAGAGGCAAACCCTAGATAAAAAAAATGTAATTTAATTTAATTTAAAAACCTTCACAGGGAACCAATTTGTCACCATTTGCATGTGGGAATTAAAAGTGTGTGATGCATCAAAAGCCCTGATTGGCACCCAGTGTGAGGGATGATGACATTTAAAAGTAGAAAGCTGTGAGTGAGACAATGGATCGCTTTATTGTATGGAGCAAATTACAACAAAGCACCAGTGAAGACGACCTATCACTGAGAGAAGAGAAAAAAATGCCAGTAGTGAGTATCAGTAGTGAGTCTTATTTTTATTGTCTTATGTCGTGATAAGAGTGATAACACACATTATAACACAGATAAAGTGTGCCTTGGGATTTTGGCTTGCCCTTTGGTGCACCTTGGGCACACACTGTTAATTCTGTACACATTTTATAAACCTGCATTTTAGTTAAATTTTGGTGTCCAATAATATCCTAAATGCTGTTTTACCAGCTTCTCCACCCTGACATCTACAATTCCAGCACTAATAGTAACAGTAATAAACTGCTGAATACTGTTTATCTGCAGCTTAGATACAAAAAGTTTAAAAGTGATTTTACCCTAAGACTCATGATTGCCAAGCCAAATAACACAGAACAAAGTTTCACAAAGAACACAGCGGCATGATGAAACACACAACCTGACATCTGAACACACATGCCAATCTCTGACTAGTTGAACTTGTATGTTACCACTGTTGCTCAAAGATCACTGCAGTCACAGTGAAAATATTCTGAGCCACTGTATACAATTTATCCTGCATGTTTGTGCAGGTGTGGCACGGAGGTGATGTCGACCCATTTTCGCACTTACGTTGTTAAAAGCCAGGCTCCTTATGTGTCATACATTATCAGTGTCTTCAGCATTTAATGGAAAACGCTCATATCGGCCAAATGCTGCTGTCAGTAAGATTTATCGTCCGTCCACTTAAGACTGGAGTTAAAGTGATTAAAAAAACTCTCTTTTACTGATGGAGCAATATGACTAATGGAGCTTGTGTTGCGGTATCATCTATATGACTTTGAACAAGGCAACGAAATTCTCTAAATACTGCTAATACGGTTAATACTGTTAAGTAATTTCTTCATCTCGACATTTAGACACACATAGGACACAATGTGCTTGAATGAACCTCCGTTTTTCTTTCTCATCCCAATCGTCCCACTGATCAGTTTCACACTAGCGGCACACAGATGGCAATCATTTCAAGTATCGATAAAAAATTAATCACTTGCTCGCTCAGTCCCTTTCTTCCGCCCCTTCACACACATTCCCAGGTTTTGCAAACTCTGCTGCTGCCGAAACAGTGCTGCAATCTGAACATCATGTCCACCGTGGTTTTAGTTTTTAATTTAAAAAAATGTTGTGTCCGTTACGCACCTTGACACACTGGCATTTTTGTACATGCATTCACAACAGGAATGAAACCTCCGACTGTGCCATGCTGTAATAATCACTGAGAACAACAACACCATCTGCAACTCATAATCCACTCCTTCATTACTGTCTTGGACTTAAAAAGAAAGTTGTTCTAATCCCCCACCTTGATACATCTGAGCTATTTTGATAATCTCTTGTTTACCCCTCGAGGCTTAATAAACACCCAGTATAATAGAGCTCAGTAAAAAGACCTAATCACATCCCAATCTTTTCTTGTCACCTTCTCTCCTTACGGCCCAGCAGTTTGTGAAGTTCTTTAACGTGTATTTTTCAAGATGTCCCACACATGTGAATAGGAGGACTTTTACAGACTGTTCCCCCTCAGACTGGAGAGTTGTTCAAAAGGAGCCTTTACAACCGTGACTATTGTTGTTAAGCCGTTCCTCTCTGTTTTCTTCTGTTGCTGAGGGGGAAAAGGTCAGTACTCAGACTGCTATCTTAATCCTTTCACATATGAGAAAAAAACAAGAATCAAATCCAGAGAACGGCTGGAAATCCTTCACAGGCCAAAAACAAAAGTACAAAGGGAGTTATATTGAAATACCTTGCCCTCTGTTGAAGATTTAAGTTATGCATCTGGCCCGGTGTCTGTTTTCAGGCCCGACACGTTCTCGGGCTCTCTATCACGCAAATCCTGAAGGTAATGCGATGCCTCGTCACACTGCCCCCCAACTTCTTTGACATAAATTAGAAATGACAAGGTGCAAGATACCTAAAAAGATAATAACCTGTGATTAGGTAAACAAATCAAATGAGTCTTTTCAATGTATGTCTTCTCTTCCTCGCTAACTGTTTCGCGCCGATTAAAAAGGGTTGAACTTGTCTCAGGGATCAGTCTTATTGCTGTAATCCCTTCCGTAACCCTGACCTTAAGCTTCGCTGGTGATTGTGGATCTTGACAGGAAGTTAAGAAAAATACGACTCCTGTTACATGCTGCTCCCTTCCTCAAAAACATTCTTAAACACACCGTCCAGAGAGTCGATTCCTAAAAAAAGCTAATGTCATTACTCATTTAGACAGTGTTCTTTAATGTGATTAACAGTCTTAAACTTACAGAGGCCAAGACTCTAACACCATCAGGGGACTTAACCTCCAGAGATGCTTCAGTGACAATAAACTGGATGCTGAGTTTAAACTCCAGCTTTAGAGCTCAAAATTTCCACCATGGTAACAAACACAAACAGGAAAATCTTTGTTTTTCCTGCCTAAAAACAAGACTGAACAGCGTCATTCTTTAAAAGCACATCAGTGATTCCTATATAGGATGTATCTCTTTGCCTGCTACAGCATACAGCTGTATCATAATCAAGTTTGCACCACCCAGTATACTGACAAAACATTCACCAGGGAAAGCTTGTGATATAATCCTCAACTGACTGGTTAAAACTGAAGCACGCAGGGAGACAGAGAGGGGTGAACATTGGCCTTATTCCGGTCACGAATGCCAGAATAAGTGTTCAACAGCAGCTTTATTGTGACACAATGAATATAAATTCCTGAAATTAAATGATCACGAGGTCTTTTAGCTTTTCATATACTCCTCAGTCTCTCCCATGTCTTTAATAGCCATAATAGGGGAAAACCAAAACTCAAAATGCAGCAATAGATCACATATCACACTCGTATTTAGGGGATGTACAAGTTCGAAAGTTTGTCTGGTCCCACTTTTCAAGTGTACTTCAAATGTTTGTGGTGTTTTTATAAGTTTCAGCCGTCAGGGGAACAAACTTTATCAAAGGGTTGTTTGTGACTGAGGTAAATGGATTTGCAGCAGTGAGTCAATGGAGTTAAAATACCCACATCACAGTGGATCAGTTAAATGCCTGTTAATGATTGAACATCAGCATGGTGCTCTCCAAAACATCCTGAACAAGGAGCGAGCAGCATTTGCAATGCAATGCATGGATGCTTCTTTCGAGGCAAAAACAATGTACAGACTTCAAATGCAGTGCCAGGCACATGTGTAATATGACACTATAGTGTGCTACTTAAAGTGCAGCGTAAACTCACTTGAACTCTGAGCTGACCTACATCTCTTCAGAGGCATGGATGCATGTGTGTGGCATGCAACCTATACTGTGTTCACTGCTATTAAGGTGGTGTTGTTCTCATCATCTAATGAATATCCACTGCAGGTGTAATATCCAAATGAGTTGTTGTAATAAAGCATGCATGCAAATGTACTTCAGTGTACCTCTTGTTTTGTTTCATCGTCATCATCAGACTCTCCTCAGCCGACTGTCTGGTACTCACCCACTTTGAACTGCGCCGTCTTGTCGTCTGGGACTGCATGCTCCTTCACCAGCATCATGTGCAGGATGCCGAAAGAGTTTTGAATGCCGAAGATCGACCCATTGCACCAGGTTGCCGCAAAAACCACCAGCCAGCCGAAGCCTCCCTCGGGTGGGACGAATGCGGGTCTGTGGCCGTGCTCCTCCACCTGGACAACAACCTCCGATTCAGAAGCTGGGGATGGGGGCGGCTTGTACAGCTGCACGGTGCTGTCCTCCTGCACTATTTTCCCCTCGCTGCCCGCCGCCTGATCATCCTTGCCTCTGTCTGCTTCTTGGGAAGCATCTCTTTGCTCCGTCTGAGAGTCTGCAGCTGGATCCTCAGTCTGGGACACTCCGCTGCACGGCTGCGCCTGATTGTCTAGCCCGTTGATCCCCATGCTGTCTGGTCTGGTGGTGGAGAGGTTACTGTGGGCTCTTGGCGCACATGCATGAGATATAGGTCACTGACATAAGAGCACTGATTTGAATAACAAATTTGATTGGCTATCTGTCAAACTGTGCGAGACAGACGGTCCCTGGCTGAGAGACGAGCCTCCTACACGCTGCTCGGAGCCCAAGTCTGAGCGTCAACTTCAGCGAATAAACCCAAACCTGCAGACGTTAAATGTGTCATTCTGGTCGGAGGTCTGTATTTTTCCAGGAACTAGCAGGCACCGCCTTTCTCTCCTTTAACAGCGAGCCCGTGTCACCACACACAGCCTATAGACTAAAACCATATATTTACTTTTGCTGGCTTCCCCCGCTCGATGCCACGAAGGATCATCAACCTGTGAAAACGTCCGATCAGTCTCGACACCGTGTCGTCCCGTCACGCAGTCCGCGCGCTGTCCGCAACATCACCCCCGGTGTTTAAAGAAACGACTGGGCGCTCCTCCTCTTTCATCTGCTATCTTTACACGGTGTAAATGTAAAATAGGTAGGCCTGTGTGAGTCCCGGAGGCTGTCTCGGCTCTTAAAAGTGTCAACAGAGCTACGGCCGTCATTCAACAGCTCGCCCCCGCCTCCCTTCCCCGGCGGATGGACGGTTGGAACCAATGGCGGAGCTTCGGCACAGTCACGGTACAGTTGTGGGACGAGTTTGCACTTCGTTTTTCACGGAAATAGCCGAGTGTTTCAGCTTCAGTTGGTTTGACACGAGCTTACTTTCTTCCTCCTCAGACTGGACGGGTAACTAACGAACTAACGCTACATCCCAGTTAATTTATCGTCGACGGTTACATCCGGTCCAAGCCTATCTGAGGTTAAAAATGCCTGATTTTTGCGCATAAATTAATATAATTTTATCGAAGAGGGAGATGGGTTGCTCTCCTAACTTAAGGTCGAAAATCCTCTGAAGGCTTCTTTGGTCAAACCAAACGCAGTGACGGTTAACAGCCAGACTATATAACGGCCATATAACGTTACAGTACTGGTGAGTTTACTATTTATCAACGTGTTAAGTATGTTATAAAGTAGGTGTTAACAGTTGGGAACAAACAAAACAAGTTCAGCCGGTGCTCCTTTGACACCTGAAACAATATGGTGCTTTAACCACAGAAGTTTGCGTTGCCATATGTGTTTAATGGTTTCCTACCTCATGTACAGTAGCCTACATAACACTTCCTGTACATACTGTCCCAGGAGTAAAAGGTTATCTCCATGTTCCCGCCTATTTCTGGGCTGACCCCAGCTAAGGTGGGTGTCCACTCTTCACTGACTCAAATATATCCATCAAAAACTAGATTCAGATTAAGACAACTTTATAAATCAGACCAGGGGGCAATTAGTTATAACAGCTTGCCTTTCACACATACTGTAACATGTAGACACATAAATAGATGAGTAAAAATAAATGAAAACAAACACAAAATGTACCAAGGAGTTCAGGGGAATAAATGAATTCATGAATAAATGATACAAAGTTATTTAGACTCACAAGTCAGTCTTTAGACACTTTGCTTAACTAAAGACTGATGACTTTCTCCCTGATTTTGTGTTTAGATGGGCGGATACAATTTCAGAGTTTAAAAAAAATACCTAAGTAGCAGAACCAATAGTAAATCAGAAGGGCAGTCCATCGGTGGCTCGCTGAACTCTTGTGCTTGTAAACATAGTCCCACTAGAAACACGTGTAGCGGTACAAAATAGCTCAGCCGTACTCGCAGAAAACGCCGTCAAAGTTAGTGGATGTTTGTCACGTTTGCGGCGACACATTCTCACCAACTAAAAGAAACAAAGATAATCTTTTACAAGGCCATGATTCATCCGTCCGGCCGGACTATAGACTATAGAGGGAATTCCTTCTATAGTCTATAGTCCGGGTAGAAAACCAGCAGAGCTATAT